CTAAGTCCTTACTACTAGCTAGCCTGGATAAGGCATCGGCATGGACATTTTCAACATACGGGATCTAGGTAACTAGAATTTTTAGAAAGATAGAAGTAGATCCATTACCAATTTGAGTATGCGGCCTTGCCCTTGTTCCTTGTTGTGAAGTTACATTTACTTGATTGACTACTAGCTAGGAGCCACTATTAATGATCAACCTCTTCACTTGCATTTCCATAGTCAACCATAGGCCGGCCAATGGTGCCTCATATTCAGTCGCGTTGTTGGTAGCTTTGAACCCGAACCTCACTGTGCAGTTGAGCTTGTGTCCTAGGGGCTAACCAGGACCACAACCGCTCCTGAACCTGTTTTCCCAAATGAACCACGAACAAGTTCCACATGAGAGGTTCTATGGGCTCCATTATTTCATCCATCTCCGAAATGTTGACAAATTCTACAATAAAATCTGTGAGGGCCTGGCCTGTAATGGCAATTCTTGTTTTGAAAAAAAAAATAAAACTCGGTGAGATCAACTATCCATTTCAGCAATCTTCCAGAAGTGTCGGGTTTCTGAAGCACTTACTTGAGCGGGAAGTTGGTTAACACAAGTATTGTGTGAGTATGGAAATATGGCCTCAATTTCTTAGATACAGTGATCAGGGCTAGAGTTAAATTTTCCATATTAGGATAGCAGGTTTCGACTGCTAACAGTGCCTTATTTATATAGTAGACAGGTATATGGAGGGCGCCTTCTTCTCTTGTGAGAACCACGCTAATGGCTTCATTGGAGATGGCAAAAAAGAGTTGCAGAGCCTCCTCGAATTTGGGTTTTGAGAGGATGGGGGCCTACCCCAGGAGTTTTTTCAACCCCTGGAAAGCCTCTTCACAATCCTCTGTCCATTGAAACTTTGTGCCTCCTTTTAAGATCTTAAAGAAATGGAGACATTTTTCGGTGGCCTTCAAGATGAAGTAGCTTAAAGCTGCCATAGGCCCTCTTAAGCTTGCACATCCTTTAGTTTTTTAGGAGATCTCATCTCGACCAACGCTCAATTTGTTTCTGGATTAACCTCTATACGCTCTAGTTGACCATGTATCATAAGAATTTGCTGGAGGCAACACCAACCACATACTTAAGGGGGTTCAACCTCATTCTGTACCTCCGTAGAATTTGAAAAGTTTCCTCCAAATGCATTACATAGTCATCCGCCTGTAAGCTTTTAACAAGCATGTCATCTACATAGATCTCCATTTTTTTTGCTAAGAGGTTCGCAAACATTTTATTAAAAAGACTCTGATAAGCGACCCCAACATTGTTTGGGCCGAAAGGCATCATCTTGTAACAATAAAGATCTTTGCCAGTGATGAAAAAGTTGTATTTCTTGTACGTCAGGTGCATGGGGATTTGATTATAACCTGAGTAGGCATCCATGAAGGTCTAAAGCTCGTGCCCAGCAGCGGAGTCCACAACTTAGTCTATCCTTGGAAGATGAAAACTATCCTTAGGACAAACTCAGTTAAGGTTGGAAAATTCAATGCACACTCTCCATTTACCATTGTGTTTCTTCACTAAAACTAGGTTTGAGACCCATTTTAGGTAAATGGTCCGCCTAATGAAGCTGTTCTTTATCAGCTTCTGTACCTCTTCCTTCAAGGTCTCATATTTCTCTGGGTTGAGGGCCCTTCTCTTCTGTCTATATGAGGCAATCGTAGGATCGATTTTTAGGTAGTAACAATTGACCTTGAGGTCAATGCATACCATGTTCTCGTGCCTTCATGCAAAGACATCAAGATTTCTACACAAAAAATCCTTGAGTCTTTCTTTGGCCTCTTGTAGCAGGCATTTTCCCACATGCAATGCATTGGTGGTGATAACCTAAGAATAACTAACCAAGAGGGGAGTGAATTGGTTTTTGAAACTTCAATGCACAAGATATGAATGCCAAGTATAATACTAGAATTAAATATGCAAGATCGATAACTTAATTCAAGTAAGAATATAGCACAATATAAATGATAATGTAAAGTAAAGTGCGATAATGTAAAGATAACAAACCAATTTAACGGGGTTCGATACACAATGTGTGCTACATCCCCGTTACCAAGCTCTCCATCATGAGCAAGGTCAAATGCACTATAATGGTAACTTACAAACAATGAGTACCGATCTTTAAGTGACTTACAATAAAGAACCTTTATCATTAGGTGACTTACAACAAGGAGCACCTATCTTTAAGTGACTTTCAACAAGGAACACTTATCCTTAACACAATCGAGTTTTCACATGACTCTCGAAATCGTCAAAGTATAAATGATAATTTTATAATTGAAAGAACTCTCTTAACAAATGATATAATCAAGTCAAGTATTTAGAGAGTTATGATAACATTTCAATAGATAGCAAGTAATAAAGCTCAAGTGTCTATGAGGAAAAACATTGATAAATAATTGATAATGAAGTGGTTTGAATTTTTGTATCAAAGTTTTCAAATCAATGATCTCTCTTAACAAATAATACTAGTTAAGTATGAAGAGAGATTTACAATTTAAATCAAAGCAGCTATCATCATCCCTCCGTGCCTATGATGGTGGTAGGAGCGGCATCGACCTTCTTGTGTTGTTGCTTGTGGAATCTCTTCATTAAGGTTTTCTCTTACCCTCCTAGGAGGGATATCACGATCTGAATTCATTTTTTTCTTGGCTAGTCTATCAGGTTTTTCCAACTTTTAGGGCTTCCATTTGTCCTTTTTCAAGAAACAAATCTTTTTTCAAGGCGAATACCTAGCTATTTTCGACAAACTTTTTCTGCAAAAATGTTCATGGTTATAGCGTTTCTTACAGACGACGCCAATCTGTTGACCTCATTTTTTGCACCATTGACATGGACAATAAATACCAAGGTCACTCGTGCCAACGCAAGCTAATTCCAACACATGTAGACTGATTACTAGTCAATAATATTTCGAATTTGAATGTGGGAAAATCTTTATAACACGAGACAAATATGATCGGGCACCAGCAGGATATATGAGTGAAATTGCACGATAAGGAACGAACAACAAAAACCTAACTAAAGATTAAGATTAAACATCTAACTTTAACAATAAAAAATCAAACTAAGAAGGGAAGAATATCTAAATTGTAGTTGATATATTCACATTATCCCAAAAAAAAAATGACACAAATAGAGGAAATTTATAGTGTTACATATGAAATGGTGACCATTGGATGAAGAGACACGTAGTCTCATCTCCTTAACCGATGCATCTTATCCTAAGTATCAATTTTGACTCAACTAGCTGTAGCGCATTAAATGTCCCCAAAAATAGGGCAGTCACTTTATAATCTATGCTGACAAGACTGACATTTTTACTTATTACAAAAGTACAATCAATCACTCCAACAAGATTTCATAAATTCAAGTTCCTCAAATGTAGGTCATCACTCTTCTTGATTGAGCTTCGGAATCTACTTCGTTCAGCTTTACGACTCCGGCAAATGAATTTAGCTTCGATTAAGGTACTTCGACAGACGTTTCAGCAAGAGAGGACTTCGATGAATCGGAGTGGATCAGATCTAATGGGCTTTGGTAGGTCCTTTGCACTCCATGTGAGATGCCACGTGGCTTCAGTGGGTCAACCAAGTAGGACGCATAACAGTTTATATCAGAATTGTAAAGGGTTTCATAATTTTACATAGTTTTACATATGTTTGATAATTTGTTAGTGATCCATTGATAATTTGAAAATAAAACTCATAGACATGCAAAAGAGAAATGCTATCCTCACTCGGATCAAGACAGAACTTTTACTTTGTTCAAATAACAATTAAGGTGAAACAGGGTAAAAAAAAGGACTAATCTCTTTATGATAAACAGATCCATTTTTCATGTTCGTTATTATGGGTAATTCCTACAAAGGATCAGACTAATGACATGTACAATATTTGAATTATTGGTATAGATACTACATAATTGGTTATCATCCTTCAAATACTACAAGTGTAATAGGAGCATCCGTCGACAAAAGGATCACCTTAAGATAATCATCTCATGGCTATTGAGAACGAATTAAATCAAATTGTTCTAGTTCTCAGTCTTTCTGACTTGCTCCTACGGAACCAAGGTCGAAAAGATTGAAAAAAACTAGCCATTCACAACCACCGATAAAAGATTCCTCAAAAAGTTAAGGATTAGTAATCTTTTTTTAGAAATCGAATGGATTCGGTCTTATAGATACGCGAGAAAAGTAATCAAACAAGAAAGAAAATGAGTTCTTTTCATACTTTGGAACTGTGTGAGATGAAAGTCTCATTCATAGTTTCAAATGAGAGAAAGAAGTGAGTAATCTTCTTTTCGACTATGACTCTTCCACTCCAGTCGTTTCTTTTCTTTCCGTCACTTCGAAAGTAGCTACTTCAGCTTCAACCACTCAAATTTTCGATATTCCTTTTTGTTTCTCATCAAATAAATGACATCTTTTTTTCTGAAAATCCTAGTTATTCTTAGCATAATATTGGGAAATATCATTGTTATTACTCAAAAAAGAGTAAAACTTATACTTGCAAATTCGTAGGTCAAATCATATATGTAATTATTGGTATAATTGATGGAGACTCAAATAATGGATATGCCAGCATGATAACTTATATGTTGTTCTATATAACCGTCAATCTATGAATTTTTGCTTGCATTGTATTATATGGTCTAAATATAGGAACTGATAACATTCAAGATTATGCAAGATTATACAAGAAATGTCATTTTTTGGCTCTCTTTAGCCCTATATCTCTTATCTTTAAGAGGTCTTCCTCCACTAGCAGGTTTTTCCAAAAAATTCTATTTATTCTGACGTGACGTGGATGCAGAGCTGGACTTGATCATGTCTCACCAGGGCAGTGTTGGGCGGCTAGGCATGACAGTTTTCATTAAAGTTTTAGAATGACGAGAAAAAGACTGCAGGAGTAAATGTTTAACTACACGTTGATAGAATTAGGTGAAGATACAGCAGCAGTGAAGTTGATCACTTAGAGAAGAAGAGTACAACTGCTGATATATCATCCATTGCTATTCCTTTTCTCTTCTTCTTCCATGCATGGCCAGCACACTTCACCAGATGCCTAGCTGATTTTGCCCGCTCTGGAGCTGATGACACAATTTCCACGGCTTCTTCGTTGGATATAACGTCCCAAACCTTCATCAAACAAAAATTTCACTATCATATCCTTAGTGTTTTGTCGGTCAGCATTCTTTACATGATTTTCCAACTGAAACATTCACTTACGCATTGTTAGGTACGGTATAGTGGACAATATTATAGGAGAAATGAAATTCAAATGTTGTAACGTATAGAGTTATCCAATACTGCGTACCAAACATTTTCATTGATTTAATATACTGAATGTTAAATGAATACTGTGTGCTTTGTGAATCAGTACACAGAGAGAGAGAGAGAGAGAGATGAAGTACTGCGTACCAAACTTTCAAAATGATTTTAAGCCAGGCATATTATCCTCACAGAGTTCAGATTCAACATGTAGTTCAGCTCGTGATATTCTAAGAGATGTATAATTTAAGAGAAGAAATGCAATGTTGCCTCCATCTTTCAGGTTTTGTTCACAAACTTGAAGATCTCAGATTTACCATTTTAATTGTTATATATCTATTTTGAGGATATTAAGGAGATAAAAGCGTATTGTTGCCTTCAGTTATATCTTTGGCCATGAAATCAAGATTATTAAGTGTCATACTAACCCCGTCTGTTGCTAGCACGACAAACTGGTCTTTACGGGTTATATGTCTCTGTGTCACTTCAGGTATGGAAACGAGGCCGAAATCCTTAACACAATAGTCCCCAAAAGCTCTAGACATCGCTAGTCCAGGAGATTCTTCATCCGGCAACCACACTCTGTGAACCCCTGGCTCGTCGTGCAAACAGAACACTCGGCCTTTGCATTGAATTATGCGCTCAGCCTCCTCTGCAAACATTGTCAGCAGAGTTATATGATGCATAGATATTAAATTAGGAATAGAGAGACACATATGTGCGCCCACTGAGAGAGAGCTAGACTAACGAGGTAGATTGGGCTTGAAGTCAACTGTAAGCTGTTCAGGTATCAAGTTGCCAGTTTCAGACGTGGTCGCCAGTACAGCACGTGAATCGCCAACATTTGAGATGAAAATATGTTCACCCTGACAGAAATAAATCAAGATTTAGTTTAGCAGTGCAGAAAATAAGTTGAGCAAAAGGATTTCAAATACTTCAGATAAATGTGTCTTATCTTTCGAGAGACTTCTATATTAGAAGCCATTCACGAAAGCCCAAAGGGTAAGTTAAATACTCTAGATGGTCCCTATTTTTTATGACAGGACAAACTATTCTCATTAACCAACTAATTTTTAAGGACCACATTACATAAATAAATAAGACCTTTAGCACCTTTTTATAGAATATGTGGCTTTTAGCTCGTCCCGGAGTCGATTGTGACACACTATGAAAGCAGTGCCATAAAATGTTAAATTCATAATAGTCAAGTGGCCAACACGATATGTAGGTTTCATAGAAGCTCAAATTCAAAATTGACGACTATTCTTGTTTAGCACGTGCAAGATATTTTAAGTTACGAAAAAGTAGTAAATTTGCAAATTAATGCTTCACAATTCTTTATCCAACTTGCAAAATCTTATATTTTCTTGATTTCTCTTTAATGAGACACTGGTTTTTCAGCATCGGTCATCTGATGATCGAACAACATTTTAGGAGAAACAATGTTTACAGAGACATCAGTGGAAAAAAGTTAAAAATGAATTTGCATATAGAGATTAGCATTTCACAATTTCAAATGACAGAATAAAGGAACTTCTATTACCTGTCTAACAATTGTCAAAGCAGTAGTGCCGCTGTAGAATGAGTCGATTTTACTGTGGTGTTCCAGCTCCTGATCTATGGCAGCACATGTCTTCAAATAGGAATGCTTCCATATATGGAATTTAAGCTTTTTACCAGATTCCAGATCAAAATCGGGATCAAGTGAAGCTTCAACAAGGGTCTCCTGCCAATTACAAAGAAGAGACGATAACATCGACTCCCTTACTCTCTTGGCCACAAAATGTCCCCAAGGGCCATGCCCATCAAATATCCCACAGAATATCATATCCTCCTGGCATCCGAATTCCTGGGAGAATTCCAAAGATATGCTATCAACAAGAAGCTCAAATCCAAAGCCAAATTGCTAGATATCCATGAATGTGTTGAGAAATCACAACTTGAGTACAAGGCCATTAAGTTGTCTGTCATACAAGCATATTGTTGACAACATAATCTAAATAAATAAGTTCATCCTGACTATAAGTTTAAGCTCTTATATAAGGTAGTTTTTTAGATGCAGCAGTTCAAGTGTTCAACACATACCTCCCAAACAATGCAGCAATCTTGATTCACGCCTTTCTGCCCTCTTTTCGAGAAAACAGAAGCAAAATTCTGGGATCTTTCGACATTAACAGTGCCTGATGTCGTCAATATCAACTCATTCTTCTTCGCATCCTTCGCCATAGCTTCCACAGCCTCTCTTCCATCACAATTCCCACAACTGTTCTCCAAATTCTTTGTTCTCTTGAGTAACAACGACCTTGAAAATCCATTCAAAATCGATGATAAACGACCCATATCACACCACCTCCAATACCCTATAACAAGCACACACCCAACTCTATATCTTCACGTACTCAAACCCTGTTAAAATCACATAAACAACTAGACATTTATAATCCAAGCATGCCCATAAAATTAGTAAATCAAACCACGTTAATCTGACTCAGAAAGGTGAGAGTCCAAAAACATTAAGTACAAAAAAGATGAATCTGGAATGGGTTAAAGAATATTTTTAACTGGGTAATCTTCATATCCTACACGGAATCCAATAATAATACTACCAAGTATGCCAGCATGTATTCTTGCTTAGAAATTGTCAGAGAAAGAACACACTAACAGACACCAAACCCAGAATATTCCTAATTAATATTTTAACCCAAACAACCATGCCAAGACAAACAAAATTGCATATTAAATAAATTTGATAATAATATGAAAAATCCAGAATTCTTACAAATAATGCATCATTAATGAAGCATGGTATTGAATGAGAGACCATATTCACCCAACAACTAGATGAAAGAAGATGGACACTTTCGATAAAACACAACCCGGAACTTAAATGCTTAAATAAAGACAGAATCATTTAAAAACCTTGATTCCTCAGGTGAAACTTGTCGAAAGTGGGGTTTAACTAGGCCAGAAATGAAGAAACTGGGAGATTTCTTGCCTAAAAATGACGGGATTCCAAGAAGTTAGAGAAACATCGCAATCAATTATGCCATGTTTAGATCTTTTGAATGTTCAAGGAGAGAAGAAAATAAATAGGATGGCTGGTGTAGCACTAGGACTCCAGGATAAATACACGGTATAGTACAGAATATACATGTGGTTGGGTGGGTGGTGGGGTTGGCGGATAAGTCAGTTCTATCTAGAGAGGTTGTGTTATAGGCTATATAGGTTGTCATGCACCGGTCAAACTCTCGAGGAGTCAATAAAAATTATAAATTATAAACAAATGAAAATACGTCATGAATAAGTGAATAATATTTAAGAATTATATAAAATGTATAAATAAAAAGTTATTTTGATCGTTTATAAATATAAGCCAAACATGTTTTTTTTTTTTAGTAAAAGTTGGTAAGTGTGAGTGTATTGTGATGCTTTACAAATTAGTGATTTTTTCTTGGTGAACTTATTTTTCAAATTTTTTAGTCTAACAAAGGGAGGCATCAGTTAAATTTAATGAATGATCATCAAACGTTACTTCATATTACTACTTGTTCATCGAGAGTTTAATGTACTTAAAGTACTTGGAAGACTCAGAGTTCTTGATCGGATAAGATGGACAGATCGATGGACGAAGAGTTTCAAGAACTGAGTCAACTAACTAATTCATAGTTTGTAAGTGTTATTTACTTTAATTTTCAGACCATTTAAGAAGGAGGGATTTGTGAGAGGGCATTCACCACATTTCCCTCGATATGGATGAACCTTGGTTAGTTGGGGGAGGCTTTAACGTTGTTACACATTGTAACGACCTGATGGAAGTCTTGGGTTCGAATCCTGGGGGACGCGTCAGAAAGCAGTGAGGGGATAAGTGGGCAGAAGCCCACCCAGAGCGGACAGTACGCAAGCTAACGGCTTGGGTATAGAGACTTGGATCGTTACAAAAAATGCGCGTTTTTGGTAACAACCTGGCTTCTCACCGGAGCCATTATCTTACATAGTATTGTCCGCTCTGGGGTGGGTTTCTGCCCACTTATCCCCTCACTCCTTTTTGACGCGTCCCCCAAAATTCACCCCAAAATTCGAACCCAAGACCTCTATCATATGGGAAACTTAAGTTGTAATCTGGTACCAATTGAGCAACTTGTCCAATTGGTACCAGGATTCAACTTAAATCTCTCATATGATGGAGGTTTTGGGTTCGAATTCTGGTGGACACGTCAGAAAGTCGTGAGGGGTAAGATGGGCCTAGACTCTCCCACAACGGACAGTACATAAGATAACTACTCCGGCGCGAGGTCGAGTCATTACAAAAAATGCTCGTTTTTTGTAACGACCCAAGTCTCTATACCCAAACCTTTAGCTTGCGTACTGTCTGCTCTGGGGTGGACTTCTGCCCACTTATCCCCTCATAGTTTTCTGACGCGTCCCCCACGATTCAGTTGCCCAATTGGTACCAGATTTCAACTTAAGTCTCTCATATGGTAGAGGTCTTGGGTTCGAATCCTAGGGGACGCGTCAGAAAATCATGAGGGGATAAGTGGGCAGAAACCCACCCCAGAGCGGACAATACGCAAGCTAACGGATTGGGTATAGAGACTTGGGTCGTTACACACATGATGGTGAGCGCACTGGTCATAATACCTGTTATCGATGCACTACTGCTCTATCTGATATGATATTAGATTGTGGTTTGGAGGACGCTGGTTTCCTTGGGAATCGGTATACTTGGTCCAACGGTTGAGTCAAAAAGAGACTGGATGAGGTACTTATTAATTCTACAGCTGCAGCATTCTGTCAACAGCTTACAGTGAGGCACTTGAATCGTACTTCATCTGATCATTCTCCTTTATTACTTTAGTGGGTTTCTGATGATGATTTAGGGCCTAGACCTTTCAGATTTCTCAACGTTTGGACCAAGCATCATGACTTTTCATCCTTTGTTACTCAGAAGTGGTCGCTTCCTACTCATCTTACGGGGATGGCTGCTTTTTGGGATAAGTTCTTTAGGCTGAAACAGGGACTGCGTTGGTGGAATCGACATGTGTTTAGAGATGTTTTCCAACGGGTAAGAGATGCTAATGATAGGGTGAATGAGGCAGAGACAATATATGATAGAGAACCAACATCGGAACATCGTGACTTATTACATTATTCCCAGGCATTTTTGAACCGAACTTTATCTATTAATGAGGGTTTTTGGAAGCAAAAGGCCTGTTCACGATGGGCATGTGAAGGAGATCACAATACTCGTTATTTCCATGCGATGTTTCAGGGTCGTCGATCAAATCGTGTGTTAGGTCTATCAGGACGCAGACATGAAAAATCTTAACTACTCATGCTGATATTCAGACTTCAGCTATTGTATTCTATCAGGATCTTCTATCTGTTCCTACACAGCCGATGGACCCCATTCGTTCTGATATCATCCCTAGGCTTTTGACGGAGGATGATAATTTGGCATTAAACCGCATCCCTTTGATTCATGAGGTACGAGGGGCAGTGTTTAGTATAGATGCGAAAGTGCTACTAGATCGGATGGATTCTTATCCCTTTTCTTCCAACATTATTAGGACATTATTCAGGATGATGTATACGGGACAGTCTTGGATTTCTTTGAAGGCGACCATCTTCCACGGGGTTTTGCTGCTACTACTATAGTATTGCTTCCTAAGAAAGACAATGCTAGCATATGGACCGACTTCGGACCCATCAGTTTATTACTAAGCTTTTGAACACTAGATTGAGTACACTGTTACCGCGCATTATCTTTCCTCAACATAGTGGGTTCATACCTGGTCTCCTAATTGGAGACAATGTTCTATTGGTTCAGGAGCTTCTCTATACTTTGGATAATAGACTGCGATGGGGTAACACTATGCTGAAGCTAGACATGACTAAAGCATATGATCGCATGGATTGGGCCTTCATTTATTCTATATTAGAGGCCTTTGGATTTGATCAAATTTGAATCGATAGGATCAGGTGATGCATCTCGAAATGTCATTTTTCTGTACTCCTAAATGGTCACCCATGTGTTTTCTTCCCCTCCTCACGAGGGTTCAGACAAGGAGATCATATATCGCCATCATTGTTCGTTATAGCTGCAGATTACTTCTCATACTTGCTCACTCAAAGGTTTCAGGAGTATCCTAATATGTGTTATCGACATGAAGGCAGTTCTCTTATCTTACACCTTTTATTCGCTGATGATATGATCATATTTGCTAATGGTCAGAAACAGTCTATCAGGAGGATTCTGAGTTGTCTGGAGTATTATGATGGGGTTTCTGGTCAGTTGGTGAATAGGGACAATAGCTGATTCATACTATCCAAACGGGCATCTACTAGTCAGATCAGGCGATTGGAGATTCTGACTGGTTTTCGACACTAACAATAACCTTTCACTTATCTGGGTGTCCCCTTATTTAAGGGGACCAAAAAGAGCTTAATTTATGATGACCTTATCCAGAAGGTTAAGAACAAGATTTCAGGTTGGGCTTCATGACTTTTATCATATGGGGGTCATATAAACTCGCTGAGGTCAGTGCTCTCCTCTATACCATTACACATTCTTCAGATCATGGAGCCCCCTAAGGCTATTCTGAAGAAACTTGAGAGCATCTTTGCGCAATTCCTGTGGCATTCCAAAGAACGGGCATGACGTTTACATTGGCGAGATGGAAGGAGATTTGTCTTCCTACTGATGAGGGTGGTCTTGGCTTTAGACTATTACAGAATACGATGGACACATTCTCACTAAAATTATGGTGGCAGTTTAGGTCTCAGATTACATTGGCGAAGTTGGAAGGAGATATGTCGGCCATCTGATGAGGGTGGTCTTGGCTTTAGGAGATTACAGGATGTCGTGGACATCTTCTCCATGAAACTCTGGTGGTTGTTCCGTTCTTAGAGATCTCTTTTGGCCCAGTTCTTACGAGGCAAATATTGTAAGGGATTGTATCATTTATTCGCAGTAGTACCCTAATCAGCTTCTCCTATCTGGAAGAGGCTGAAATTATTTGGTCCTCGGACATAGGCACACATTACTGGCAACTTGGAGAATGTCAGATTTTCTTTTGGCACGATTGTTGGATGGGTGAGACCACATTGGTATACCTATTCCCACAAAGACAACACACATCTGTGAGGGTGCAGGATTTCTATGATGATACTGGTTGGGATATTGGACGTTTATTACATGTTCTCCCTCCTCTTATGACAGAGCAGATAGAAGCTATACTTTTATGTATTGATGCACTGGATTGAATTTTTTAGCGGAACACATTGGATGGTAGGTTCGTTACCAAGTCAGTATGGCAGCTCGTACGTTCAGGATGCCAATA